GTCAAGCCGACCCCGCAACCGCAGACCGTAAAGACGAATCCCTGCAACCCCAAAGCCAAAGCCCGCCGGCAAGAATGCTCTTGAGATGCCACCGGAGTATTGCTCCTGAAAAGCCTCACATCCCCGAACTTGCCGCAAATGCCCTTGGCCCTGTCCTTGGAGCTTTCTCGCGAACTGGGCGCCACAGAGCTATGTTTTGCTACAATATCATTGGCAGGTGGCTGCTGGGCGGTTCAAGGTCGTTTGAGCTGTAGCCCTACAAATCATAAAGATCCGGCCGGATGGCCCGACAGAACTGGCAAGGATCTGCCAACTCTGGAGCTGGAGACTTAACAAAAGTCGATAGCGAGTCTGCATGAGAGAAGAACACCAGAGTTGAAGGCCGGATCCTTCGGACAGAATGGAGAACTCTTCCTTCAAAAGGCTAGTGACTGGTGCGGCCATAGGCATCTTCAGACTCAAAGGCGAAAGGCGGAGACGTGGAAGAGGCTAGGGACGATTAATCAGCATGCGAAGTGGTGGGGTCCAAGGTCCAAGTCCGGGTGAAGGTGCGCTCTGGGGCATTGGGGCAACTACTCGAAGCCCTATACGGAGCTCCAGAAATACCAGCACTGCAGTTAAGGGTTCAGGATTTGCGCTGCTAACGCCAGAGAGGAAGGGTTGGGGGGACTGAGGGCTTTCGGGTTTAGGATGTCGGTTCGGGGTTCGGTTGGTGATCGACGAAAAGCAATGGAAAACCTGATCCTGCCTGTTAGAGGAGCCGCGCGCCGAAGAGCCCTGACGAAGAGCGGTGTTGGATGACTTTGAGTGTTTTGGCGGGCGTTCTATGGCGTTTGAAGGGGGGATTGGATGCTTGTTGTCTCGAGTCTCAACCCCGGGTATATATTGGATTCAGATCGCATCCTGTTCAGGTTTTCTACGGGGGTTGGGGTTGGGCGAGAGCCCAGGGATCTCCTGCGTTAGACTGAATCCTCGACACAACCTCTCAGCAAAGCGAAAGGGATCTGAAGGGGATTCCGGCACATTCCCATGCCAGAAGATCACTGAGCACACTGCTTAGACCACCGGGCACCAACGGGGCGTAGGGCTTCAGAGTTTGAGGCTTAGGCGGATGACTCAGTGGTGTGAGAACCTTCGGGTACAGTCTTCGCAGGAGGTTTGTTGGTTCTGGGCACATTTTCAGCACGGTCAACATGTGGGGTCTTCAGGTCTGAAAGGTGTCCACGGCGTTCTTTGTCGGTTGTTGGAGCTGCGTGTTTAACGTTCCGGTTGACGGCTCAGGGTTTAGCTGTAATCGTCCTTAAGGTACTAAACCACACAACTCCCAACCTTCAAGTAATCATAAGAACTACGAGCCTGCAACTTGCATTCACACTGTTCTGCTTAATCCCTAGCTGCACTGAGCCTTCTTTAATCTGGAGCCTCTTTCGACCAACTTCTATGGGCAGCCCGAGAAGGGTCTAAGGTGCGAGCCCCAGAGATCTACATATAATGAAAAAGCGAAGCCTGACAGAACAACGAATCAAATCAAGCCAAACCGCAAATCCAAAACCAAGCCTCCAAAACCCTAAACCGCAGAATGACATAAAGCGACAGAGCTGAAAACCCGAGTATCCGGCCCCTATAGAGACCGAATCGATGCGCTGCGGCGCTCCTGGAGCGCCCCGTCGAGCCTGGGCGCAGGTGGCTTGATGCACGGTCCAATGTTGAGGATTCCTAGTCCTAGTATGTTCTAGATAATATTTAAGTTGAGGGATATTCGGGTCTGATAGGCCCGAAAGGTATTTTTGGCGGCAGTGGCAGCAAGTGCTTGAAGATGGTCGCTTATACATACATATATATATATATATATGTATACATATTTACCGGTGTATCATATATGACATATATGTATGCACAAAGACAGTATATGTATATATATATATATAGATAAACAACAGTGGCAGTGACATAGATATAGAAAACGTTCTTGATATTTATAAAGATATACATATAAGAGATAGAAAGATGGATGGACTTGTTCTTTGCCGCTTTGTGCCACAAATATCTCCGGGGTTGACCAGCGCAGCTACAAGGCAGTTTCAAACTTGACCCATGATATCTCTTCTTGCATGCACTCTAGTTTCCAAGGTAATAATAGCATATTCCAAGCCCGGAAACTGGGTTGATCTTGGGTGCTTTGAGCTGGAGTTCAAGTATCAGCCCGTAAGAACTTCCCATGTTCAAGTGCCTTGACACCGATGGGTATACACGCCCTGCGCTAGTGTTATCATTTGGCTATGACTCCTATAGGATCTATGGATCAACAAAACACAAATAAAACACTGACATGACCTGCGGGCGCGTGACGACCATCGAACTGCGCCGTTCCTGTCGGGTCGCAAGGAAAGCTTTGAGTCGCGCCAATGTCGCAATGTAGTCCCCAGACAGAGTTGAGGAAACCTGTGTGCTTATCGTCCCTGTCTCTAACGTTCAGTGTCGGGCAACAAATCAAGGTTCCACCTTCTAGCATTTACAGCACAACATAAACTCACAAAACCTATATTCTGGTCCGATTACACTCTACAAATCCCAAACCCTAAACCCCAGAAGCACTACAGGCCTATAGACCCCGAACTCTCTAAATCCTGACAACCCTGGAAGCCTTCTCAGCCTCGAGCCGTGAGAATCCTTCGTACCGATCCCGGCAGCCTTCAACTCGCTTAGCCGAACGTCTCTCATGACCTTCTTCGTCTCCAGCTCCTCGATGCCCGGTAGTATTTGGCGTTTAGGCTGTCTAGGATGTAGGATTCGGGAAATAGGGTTGAGAGTCAGGAGTCTCGCTTTGGGACTTACCGGCTTTCCTGTGGATAGCGTAAATAGGCTTCGTTACCTCCAGCCCTGAAGACCTGAAACTGAATTTGGGGAAGTACAAAAAAACTATATTGGTATGCCTAACAGGAAGGGCAGAATATGGCACGCAAATCGTTAGCAAAGCGTTGGCTCGAGCACTCCCACGTACAATCAGCAACTTTTCTCCACGATTTTCCTAACGAGACGCGAAATCAGTCAATCTTGCAAATGTGTCTTGGAACTTTCATTGGTTGGTGTATGGGGACCTGTGGCGTCGAAGGATGAGTCATCTCATCTTCAAGACTCTCACCGGCTGTTTCGAACTGGAGCATGACCAAACCGTTCCAGCTTCGGGTTACCTTAACCTAGGGTAAACGGTTTGCATCCACAGTTTACGTCATGAGAGCCACCAGTGGCGACCCTAAGCTGCCTGAGGTGAAAACTTAACGAAAGTGTGCATTTGCAATGCACTTGCAATCAATATCATAGTAAGCGGTTTCAGGGCTCACGGTGGCTTACAGGTATCCCTTTGACGAGTCGATTAAGGGTCTTCGCAGCAACAGATTGCTGCCTCGTTGAACTATCCTGCTTAGGGTTCCAACATCTTGACAGCGGTGTGCCAACATGCGCCACACGGCCAAACAAGCCACAGCCTCAAAAGACCTTCAATCATCAAGCAAGATAGTTTTCATGCAATCAATAACAAACCCTAAGCCCTGGAAGCTTTGTTTCGACACCGCTACAAACCCAATGGACACACAAATCGTTTCTGATTGTTCCATTGTTCTCACACTGTGTTGATTGTCAGCGCTCCTCAAGAATCTCTCGGTTGAATTCCGCCTCTGCCTGCCGAGAGCGCAAACACGACTGGGCAGTAGGAAGGGCTCGCACGGGGTCGAAATTATGATTCGGCTTCTCATATTGTGCGTGGGATATTGAGGTGACACCGGGCACCCTTGTATCTCCCGACGTTCCAAAGCTGGTTTGTACGGGTGTCCGCCAAGCATCTTAGGAAGTCTTCATGAAGGTGCCTGTGGTCGATCTCCCATGCCGAAGGGCAGTTCTGGGGTTACAGCTTGGGGCAAACAGACTCGGGCCGAAGGCTTGGAATTCGAATTACCTGAGACTGATCAGCTGGGGTGCGCAACTTTAGACACTGACGCAGGCTCGGTGGCCAGAAGAGCATCAGGGCTCAGGGTGTAGGGCTTTGGGCTATGGGTGTTCCCATCGCCAACCTGGCGGTGAGGTGGCAGTGATCCAACGCCCAGAACATATCGCACATCATCGCATTGAGTAGGGTGCGGCGTTCGGACGCAGAATTTGGGGGTCCAGGCTTGTTGAATCCAATCCTGCGAGTGCCCAAAGACTTCTACGATGGCTATGCGTCATTTGACTGCTGCAGCTAACCGAGTTGAAAATGTACCCGGAGCCCTGCACCCCAAGCATAAACCTGACACCCACCGACAGCCCATAACCACTGCGCAAGACTGCACAATCGAAGCTTTCAGCCCGGAAAAGTCTCTGGCCTGGCCTGTTCACCCTCGTCTGCGCATCGTTGCACGACTGGCCGCTGTTCTTCAAGCTCTTGCTTTGGGGATCCAGCATTTGCAGTCCACGTGCTTCAGCGTTGGTAGTTGGTGGTGTACGGCTGGACATGAGCTTAACGGGTTCAGGTATGTGCGAAGACTTTTAGGGTCACAGGGCCCGTTGATGGACGTGCCTGCACCTTTGCATACTCACCCAAAGACTGCATGTTATGCCGATCTGGTGGCAGTTATGTAGATCGATGTAGGTATCTACCCGTCAACCTATCCATATCCCGATGTGCAGTCGATCATCTATCGGCCGGTCTTTCTACATATCTGTCTAGCTGCACGCGTGGATGCAGCTGTGTAACCACCAGTGCACGTGTGGGAACAATGCATAAAATGAAGTTGCCATACCACATCACAAGTTCACCTGGTAGAAGACCCTGCACCATAATGTCACCAACCACATCACGTCCTCCCGCATCGGAACCTCCTCAAAGGAGCAGCCGGGGCCAACAAGGCAGCACTGAAACACTTCAGACAGGGAACGAAGCTTTGAGGGAAACACAACAATACGAGATCCCCTCAACCCTAAACCCTACGCCACAAACACCAAGAGGAAGTCGAAGAACGCGGGGCCTGCTTCGTTGTGCGATCGGAAGGCCGACAAAGCATTCCTCACCAGGTCTGCCTCGGATTCCTCGCAGGAAAAGGCTTCTTGCTGTTTTATTCCAGGGGTGGGGGGTGGGGGGTGGGAATAAAAGACACAATTCTTCTATGACTCGACTGGGCGTTTACGCTAGGGCTGCTAAGGAGGCTTCAGCTTGGGCACGAGCCTGCCTGGGCTTGGGCTGGATTTTGGAAGCGGTGATGTGCTCTTTTCGATGATTGTTCTGTGGGGATTGTTGAGGTGTCTTGCATAAGAAAGCCCTAACCCCTAAGACTTAAACAACCTGGGAACCATCTGCCTGAACCTCAAAACTCCAACTGCCGAACCCCTCTAGCCGGTGCCTGAAAAAACAACACTCAAGTCCATGTGAGAAAGACGGGGTACCACAGATGCTTGCAATATTATCTTGAGAACCCCGAACCCCAAGCTGAACCGTCCAACCTCTGCATGACTCACAAGTCGCGGTTACAAAAGAACGACACTTCTAAGCCGTCGACTGAATAGAGACTAGTAAGCCCAAGACTCAGCACGAAGTCTTAAAGAAGCCAGCATAAGACCCACAAGCCCAACAAAGCGGACATTGCCTCATGAAAATACGAGTTGGCCGTGTTAGGGCTAGGGTTTCGGGATTTCTATTCAGGATTCAGCGGGGGGTCTTCGTGCTCAACCGAAAGTTTCTTCAAGGGGCTTTGCACGAGGCTGGGCTCTCTCAGCTCTTGAACTTTAATTCATATCCACCCGAAACTCTACATACTATGCGCCCCAAAACCTCCATCCAAAAAACAAGAAAATGTGTCCTACTTTCCCATGGCAAGTAAATAGCCCCCTATTATTTTTGCAGCAATCACTGGGCCAGACCTGAAAGGCCAAGAAGGAAGCAAGCTCTCCCTCATCTGCCTAAGATGTTGCTTGGGGTGCAGGTTGGGGTTGGGGAGGCGAGGGACATGAACCATAGGGATCCTATGACCCCGCAGTTGCTTTGAGGCCCAGATGTATTGCAACTTCGCCACAAACATTGACATGCAGCGAGCCCTTTGCACGGACACGCGGAGCTGCTTAAAGGTTTCGAGAAGCAGGGCGGGCCTGCGAACTTTGAATAATGGTCCCTTCGTTTTGTGGGGCAGTTGGGAGTTTGGGGCTTGCCAAGCACGGTCGTTGAGTCCAAGGACCTCAAGGCTGAGAGCGACAGCAGTATAGTAGCACGCGTAGAAACACCAGGGTTCAACACCAAACTCAACTCACAAAGGGTGATCACCACGATCACCATCATCATCACCATCAGCATCATCATCATCGTCATGATCATCACCATCACCATCATAATCATCACCATCATCATCATCATCACCAGCAGCAGTATTGCGGACAGTTCTTACTGCACATGGCCGAAGTATCCGCTGGCTTGTCGTGCAGGCTTAGATATACGGCTAGGCGGGCTACAAAGCGTGATTCACCCGTAGGCTGGCTGAAGACTGCCCATGTTTATTCACATATGAAGGCAGGGTTCTTCGGCGCCTAAACCGGAAACCCTGAGCCCATCAACCCAAAATCCCAAAGCTAAGATCCTAGCACCTGAAGAGCAACTTCACGTCCCACATGCCACCCTCGGCTGCTTCCGAACCTCCAAGAAGGGATCTGATGGCTCATCCTGGCTTGGGTCCTGAGGGTGCGCCAAACCCTCCGACCAGACTTCAGGATGTGGGCATTGAAACCTGCAGGACCTTTCAAGCTTATGCCTTTCGGCTTGAAGGCCTTGCAGAATTGAAAACTTGTCGGCTAAGGGGTGCATCCTTGGCGCCTTGGTCTCCAAACCGCTGACTCCCCGGCCCACAGCCCTGTTTACTAGACCCACCCACCTACAGGCCGGAATCCTGAAGTGGAAACCGTAAAGCCGGATCGAGAGCTTAGATAGACCGCCACGTAAACAAGTTCATTCCCAATTTGTTTTCGTCGTACAGCCCGATTTCCCGAATCCACAAACCGACAAATCCAACACCAAACCCAACCTGTTTCGTTTCTGGTGCTTTTCGGCATTGACTGAACTGCCGCTGCTGACCCTCATCATCGTCACTGCCATCGACAGTATCACTGAATTTCTTCCTTACAAGCCCAGATGCATGGACTCAGAAGAAAAGCAGTGTGCTCATGTCCGAAACACATGACCCGAATGCCCGTTCGACCGAATCCCATACATGCGCCCTGCCAACCTCAGCAGGGGTCATCTTGTCTTCCAGCGCCCAGCGACTCCTACCAAAATTCGAAGAAAAGTTTTAAGGCCTAGCTTTCCAAAATGTTTAAGGCTTGCCTTTAGTTTCTGTTGTATCGGGCTTGGGCTTCAGGCGGTTTGGAAGTGGGGCGTGCTTTTGCTCACCGATTCGGGGCAAAAGGTAAGGGGCGTGCTGCCCGATGCCTCTCATGCATCTGAGGGTGTAGCATGAGGGGCTGCATTACATGCACTAAATATCACCAAATACAGCAAAGCTCGTCCCACCCGTGACAACTACCTGGGGAGAGTTTAGGTGTCAATGTTTGATAGCTTGGCTTCGAAGGACAGTTTGTGGCGAATCGGGGATGTAGAGAATTGAACTAAACTTCGAGTCCTAGAACTCCAAAACCTGGAACCCCAAACTCCAAACCCGCCTACACGATTTTGAAGTACAGCTCTGGTCCTCACAGTGCGTAAAGAAGTCGGAAGCTCGAGTCTCAGAAGCCCCAACACGACATCCTGCACGAATCCTGAGCCGTTTTTTGTCGAGCTCCTGTTGATCATCGTGCTTTCTTTTTCTCCTTAACCCCAACCCCAAGCTGGAGGTTCCAAGCTGGTTCTAAAATGTTTTTATGAACTTTTAAACAAGTATACACGCACCATCTAGCATTTTAAACCCGAGACGCCTCATCAGAGACCGAGATGATTTTCACTCAAAACTTATTCTATAACCTTGAACTCCATTTCCTCGAGCCCCACACGCCGTGGATCCTTAAAACCCAAAACCAGATCAACAGCAAATGGGCCTCTCGATGGATTCCTGCAGCTTGGCCACCTCCTGGAAACCAGCTTGGTTTCTGCTTTCTAGCTCGTTACAACACTGTTGAACTTGGTGGCTCTAGGGTTGGGGGCTGCAGGGTTGTCGTAAGTCTGAACTCCTGGTCGTTGCTGATTTCGCTTGATGACTCAATCCTTACAGCTGCAGCACCTTCTTACTACCGCGATTGCACTGACGACATCTTGAGGGTTGTAAAGTTTCGGATTCAGGGTTTAGTCTACAGTGTCCGCAGTTCGAGTTTAAGCTTCGGGGATTTGGGCTTGCGGATTTGCATTCAGGGTCTCGTGGAATGAGGTTCTAACTCATCCCAAATTGCAAACTAAAATATCAGCGACCCGACATACTACAGATCGTCAAAAGCATTGCAGCGCACTGCCTCGCATTGCTCTTTGCGCAGTATTGCTTCCTCTCACCCGAATTTCATACCCTCTCTTTCCTTCAACCGCATACGCCCCGCTGACCCTCAATGGCTGAAAATCGTGACACAGAAGCTTCGATCTTGCAGTGTCGAGCAGAAACTCTGCGACTGTCGTTCCAACCTTTGTGTCCACCCAAACAATTGAGTGGGAAGCCTCGGCGACTTCATCGGAGATCGTCCCGAAGAACTCAGCCTGCTAGGGAAAGGCAGAGGCGTGTCAAGAGCCACAGGGGGTGATTGAAGCTTTAGGTCATTTTCCACAATGGGCTTCATAGTGCCTGCAGGTGACTACATTGACATATGGCTACATTGGGGCTTTAAAGAAAATAGCGCATGTTCCTGAAGCTTCTTCGTTTAAATTTTGATTGCTTCATGCAACCTACAATTCAGAAAAACAGACAACATCAAACTGTACGGCAAACCCAGTATTGTCGTTGCTTTGGCGAGAAGTCCAAGCCGTAAGGTTTAGAGTTCAGTGGATGCTTGGGGTCTGGGTTGTTTAGGGCTCAAGGTTTGGGCCTTGCGGCAATATATACTTAGGCTTAACAGCCGCCAGTATATAGCAACTCGTGAGTCTTTGCGGCCCCTAAACCCCGCCGAAGTCCCATTGAAATTGCTGGGGCCCTCGGCTCGCTTCTCCAAGGCGAGATGCCCGGAACATAGCCGGGCCTGGCAAAAACTGCTTCAACTGTGGGGCCCGGGCCTAGGGTTTCAGGGAGTGCCACCTTTGTGTTTGAATCTGTTGAGGTGGGTTTGAGGAGTTCAAGGTTTCGGTTCAGTGTCCGGGAGTCTCGGATGAGAGGGCTTCAGGTTTGGCAGTTTGGGCCGTGCAGGGGTCTATAGTGTCGGGATTCGGGCACTGGCACTCAGGAAGGCATTCAAGCCTTTTTGGCCGAACTGGTAACAACCTGATTAAAAACCTAGAGCCCGCCCTAAACTCCGAATTCAGATGCACCCTGCATACATCTTAATCTCTCCTATACTCAAAGGCGAGAGAGAATAAGCGATGATGATGTTTCCATGGGGTTTGTGCTGACAGATGTTTCCCGAATCTTCTATCCCGCACCCGAAGACTGGCCTGTGCGTGTTGGCATCCTGCAGACCTTCTTCCAAGTCGTACCCAAGCCTCAGTCCTGAAGCTAGCAAAGAACAGAAGCCCCAAAGCCTAAATGCCCTTAACCAAACATTCCGGAGAAGACATCTTTCCAGGCTCTGCCGCCTCCTCCTTGTCCCAGCTGTCTTCGACCTGCCCGGCCCCTAAGACACAATTGTCTGGTTAAAGGCACATGGAGGTGTTGAGTCGGGTGTAGCCATGTGTAGCCAGTGTAGCCCGAAGGCTTCGTGCTCTGCGGGAGTCGCAAGGTAAAATCCCTGGACTTCACATCTTGAACACCGAGCTGTTATCCAGAAACGCCAGCAGTATAATGCCAACTCTACACGCTCAAACCCAAAGCCTGACCGCAGGCACACCCTAAACCCCCAAAATCCAAACAATCTCAAGCCCGACACAATGAACCTCTTAAGCCCGGCAGACCCAGGTGCAGTTGGAGTGCTGTCATGGGCCGGTCACAAGGGCTTCTGATGGGGCGTTCTGAAACGCACGCACCGAATAAAGTCAGGGTCTTGTGTGAGCTCCCAATCTCGTATGGTAATGGCAGCTGGGAGCGGTGAGACTCGAAGTCAGTTAGGCAACATACGAGAATTGCGAAGCCCCTCGCTGTCGGAGTAGAACACAGCCACAACAATTGCCTACTTACGCCTCGTAGCAGTAGCAGTAGCAGTAACAGTGGCAGTGGCAACGGCAGCGGCAACGACAGCGACAATATAGTGGCAGGAGTAGGGGTAGCAGCAACAGCGGCAGTTGTAGCAGTAGCAGTAGTCGGCATCGGCGTCGGCCGCGGCGTAGTAGTAGTAGTAGTAGTAGTAGTAGTAGTAGTTGTTGTTGTTGTTGTTGTTGGCTCGGACCACCTGTAAGCGCGCGTTTTGCATGTGCCAAATCCACCGGTATTTACAGTGTTTCACGTGGGTCACATGCCGAAAACACCACTGCCATCGGTGGTTCCGG